AAATATAGCGTTGCAGTATCTCACGTCTCAAATCGATTTTGAATTTTGAGCAGCGGTAACTACCATTTTTGATCAACAGAATCTGTGAATCGAACGTGGTTGGTCTCTCAACACCGGGAGTCGATAGGCACGCTGCATACATTCGCTTTTGTTTTTTGACAACTCGTCGAGACGTGATCTCTCAATAGAAACTCACAGGTTTCTTGGTTGTATTAATAATTCGTTAAAATAAATTAATAGATTTAATTGAATGAGCTGAGCTACTGGAACTATTAATCGGCTGTTCGCTAGTGATGCATAGCTGGTTAGCAGATGAATTGGAGTTTCCTCCTCTTCTAAACACAGCCTGGATATGCTCTCGTCTTCCATCCCCATATTATAAAAGTAACTTTTTAGATGGGACTGTCCTGTTATTATTCCTCCAGCGTTTCAAATTAAGAGCCCATTTTCAGATTTCCACCTTCAACCCTATATTGAGGTTCTTATGAGCACACAACAGTATTGCATAAATTTCCGCTTGGAATACACTCAGAGGCACAGATATGTGTCGTGGGAGAGCTGCCATATAGATCAGCTCCAGTCCCAGTGTCTGATTTGGATCCGTCCCTGTACTAGACTAGTTGTCCTTTATAGCATATGAAAGCCTAAGATAGCATCAATCCTGTCCGTTTTCATAGCTCTAGACAGATAGCATTTGTTGCTCTCCCTCTGATCTTGGCTTCCAGTTTCCCAACACCTGCTCGAGCCCTAGGGGGCTTCCATCGATTCATTTGTTGGTTTTCAATGAACCGGTCACTATTAGGTCGCATAACTTTTTCACTCGCCTTAGGGCTGCCCTAATATTTTGTCTCTCAGCAGAATGATTTCGATCAACTTCATTTGCAAGCGTAGTTGAGTATTTTGTACATTACTTTTTGTTTTAGTGTCAAATAAATTGAAACAATCTTCCATTGATTGAGTTCTTCAGCATATCGAGCATAAGCAAGATTTTCATATGCATAGAGTGTGGTAGTAACTATTACCAGACAGCATCTGTGCCTCCCACAAGTGGATTTTGTTCTTGAAGTGACTATACAAATTTGTTATTAACTGTCCCCCCCTAAAACCATTTCAGCATTTTCTCTTTGCTTAGCCATCTGTCTTCACAGTAATATATCGTCATATTCGGCTGATAATCCCTCCAAAAACGCATTGAAGCGCTCATTATCATATTCATAACATTCTGGAGTCGAAAGGTCTTAGAAAATATGTTCTGTTGGTGAATAATACAAGGATCATCAAATCAACTTGATTAGACTTTTACGTTAGCCGTCTTTTTTATGCTACAACAGTTCTTGACAAACTAATTTGTCCAAATTCATTTCATACAACGGGCCGCGGGTTGCCCACATGCGCTGTAGACATTTCGTTAATAGTACCCAACCAACTAGGTCTTACTATTTACAAATCTTCTGGATTCCTCCTGCGTAATAACTTAATTTTGCTGATGTTTCGAAAAATCATCCCGTTGGCTTCTTCAGAGCTTGACTGAAACTAGTTCGCATTCTACTCTGTACTTGCTCTAGTAGGCTCTAGTAGTTATCGCAAAGACTCCACCCGAGGAAGGTACTCAATGTATGAAGGAATGGAGAGAAAAGCAGCATGTAAACTGACCTTACAAACGACAGCAAAATTGGATGAACGCAGAGGTGAGTGGACGAAAAGATTTATAACAGATATAGAAACTACATACTACCTCACTCAACTTATATCAGGGCATGGGTGTTTTCACGAAAACCGGGATAGGTTTCACGTGACACAAAGTGAGGAATGTCTATATTGCCGCTGCATAGACACTGCCTACCACTAGTATTTTGAGTGTCTAAGATGGGAAAAAGAGAGAATGGCAGAAGAATATTTTGACCGAATCACACCAGAGAATATCTTGACAAAAATGTTGGCCAAGTGAATACAACTGGAGAGTTGTCAATGACCGAGCAATTGTGAGCGAAAAAGACGAATATTAGGAGAAGACAAAGAAGGTAGCGACACAGACAGAGTATAACAACTTATTAGAGTAAGTAATGCTGCAACAGTTCCAGAGATACGTCCACTATAGAAAATTTTACATTGGGTGTTTACAGAAAATCTAGGCACACAAATCGATATGCATTGTCACGTCACCATGCGGCCCAAAAATCATCGGTGATCAACTCTCTTGTTTCTTCTTCTTCACGTGCCATCTCCGCTGCGAAGGTTGGCAATCATCAATGCAATTCGTATCCTTGAGACTGCAGCACGAAACAATTGGTTGGAGTTACATCCAAACCATTCTCTCAGATTACGCAACCATGACATCCTTCTCCTTCCGATACTCCGTTTACCTTGGATTTTACCTTGCATAATCAGTTGTAGCAATTTATATTTTTCTCCGCGTGTAATATGCCCCAGATACTGCAATTTTCTTATTTTGACCGTATCCATTATTTCACGTTGCTTGTCCATCCTCACAAGTACTTGTTCGTTTGTCATTCTGCCCGTCCAGGATATCCTTAAAATTCTTCGGTACGTCCACATCTCAAAAGCTTCTAGTTTATTCAGGCTTTGTTTATTCAAAGTCCAGGCCTCCACGCCATACAAGAGGACCGAGAAAACATAGCATTTAAGCATCCTCACTCTCAAACTTAAGCTCAAATCCCTGCTGCACAACAATTTCCTCATATTATTAAAAGCACTTCTGGACTTTTCTGGTTCTATAGGTATAGGTTGAACAGAGATGGTGATAAGACACATCCCTGTCTAACACCTCTTTTTATTTTTATTCTGTCTGTCACCTCATTGTGTACCCTTATCACGGCCTCTTGTTGGTAATACAAATTATTTATTATTCTTATGTCTCTAGAGTCAATGTTTTTACTTTTAAGCAGTCTTATGAGTGTTTTATGTTGGACGGTGTCAAATGCCTTATTGTAGTCCAGAAAACAAACGTACACATCCTGATTTACATCTAAGCACCGCTGCGTTAATACGTTAAAGGCAAACAGTGCTTCTCTAGTCCCTAGTCCATTCCTAAAACCGTATCCTCGTTTCTTGAAGGATCTGTCTCTTTGTCCAGTATAAATTTTAGGACAAGATCCGCATTTCAACCTGTAGACACCTGATTTTTGAGATTTTGGGCATTTCGTTTTATTGTCTTTCAAATATTTTCTTTCCTATTTTGTTGTTCGTTCTGAAAGCTATTTTGATACCACATTTTGACAAATGTTTTGGTTAGTTAGAGAAAAATCTATCCATTTAATTGAAAATACTATTAAGCAATCTACAACAGATTTATATCTCTAAAGTAGGTTTGATTATGGGAAACCCACTTAGTCCTTTGTTAGCCGAGAGATAATTTGAAAAATATCATACTAGAACATCCTTTAAGTAAAAGTTTTTTATGATGGTATAGATATACTTGGATGATGTCTTTGCTTCCTTTGTTGGAACGGACAGACAATTGAATTCTTTTTTCAATTACATCACCTCATTACATAATCGTATAAAATTCACTATCGAGATTGAACAGGATAACTCTATTAATTTTTTAGACTTAACTATTACGAAAGCGCAACACAAATTAGATTTTTCAATATATCATAAACCTTCCCACATGGACACAGTCATACATAACAGCTCAAATCACCCTTATACGCACATTTAGCTCTTTTATACACAGCTTTCTTAATACGCCACTCTCAACAGAAAATTACAACAAAGAACTTAATATCATTAAATAAATTGCACTGAACAACGGCTACAATCCGTCCATTATAAATAAAATTATAAATAAAAAACAAATCCAGACAACAGTAAAGTCTATTTATCCGAAACCTAACACAGAACATAAACCATTTAAAACAATTATATACATATGAGAACCTAGTTTAAAAGTTTCAAAACATTTGTCAAAATGTGGTTTAAAAATAGCTTTCAGAACTAACAACAGAATAGGAAAATATTTGAAAAACAATAAAACGAAATGTCCAAAATCTCAAAAATCAGGTGTCTACAGGTTGAAATGCGGATCTTGTCCTAAAATTTATATTGCACAAACAGGTAGATCCTTCAAGAAACGCATTAACGGACATAAAAGCGCGTTTAGAAACAATAGCCTGGTTTCTAATTATGCTACACACATAAACACAGAAAAACACATCTTTGAGGACAAAAAGTAGAAAATTAAATTTATTGGAGGCAATAGAAATTAACAAAATGAGACATTCAAATGTATTGTTTAACGATCAATTAGATTTAAATATCTCTCCTTTATTGAACTTAAATTCTCACAACAACTTTAATTAAGTTTTTATGGTAAAAGCCACCTCAGTTCAATTTCAAAATTTAAACAATTCTGCTCTCCTCTCTAATAATTTCCACATTAATGAGATTAAGCGTTTCATCACAAAATATATTTCACCACAACCTTCTATTAACAATGAGTCCGAAAGCAATCCCACAGTTGCCACTGTTGTCTTTCTTTATATTTAAAACATCACTGACCACATATAAAAAGTTTTTAAGAAATATAACTTCAAACACAGATTTACTACTTGTCAAAAACTCTTTCAACATCTTCGATCCGTCAAAGACAAAATTCCATTTGAGATGCCAGGAGTTTATAGCATTCCATGCAAAGAATACATTGGAGAGACCCGACGAAAAATATCAACTAGGCTCAAAGAATATGAAAGAGCATCAAAACCACACATCAATCTTATTCAAAATTTTCACTAATATGGGAATCAGTCATCCGATACAATGTTCATACCTCTCAGAATAGAGTATAGTATAATGCGTTTCAGTTAAACTCTGAAGAAGCCAACAGGCTAATTGGCAGGAGGAATCCAGCAAATTTGTAAATGGTATTAAAGTAGCTTGTCGAAGTTTCTTTGTAAAATTAAACTAGAACCTTTATTAATTGATGAATTGTTCGCTTAAGCCGGTTCATCGTAGTGAATGTCTAATCTTTTTTCCTCCAGATGGACACGTAGTACGCACGAAATGGCGGAGAACGTCAAAGTGATCGTGAGATGTCGGCCGATGAACAGGAAAGAGACCGAGAGCAATTGCAAGGTAAAAATGATAACAAACGGTGACGGAGTGAAGAGCAAACGTATGTTGCAGTGCGTGGTGAAGACCAACAACTGCGTAGTGGAGATATGGGACCCGGGGGAGGGGCCCTCGTTTCCCAAAACTTTCACCTTCGATTCCACCTACGACCAAAGTTCGACCACCGAAGCGATCTACAACGATATTTGTTACCCCTTAGTCGAGGTAAGGTGGTTCGAGAATGATCTAGATTTAAATATCTCGCGCGCTCCTAAATACGGAAATCGTAGGTTCCGATTATTTAGTAAAGAGAACGTTGACGTGATTTTTTTCTGCTTGAAGCAGTGACAATTTGCTCTACCAGTAGCGTAACGCGTAAGAGATAAATATAATTAAAATATTACAATTATAAGAAAATAAAATAATTATAATTAAACTAAAATATTATAAAAATTATAATTAAAATAAATAATTATGAGATGTTTTTAATGATTTTTTTTTAATTTTACACGCATATAAATAATGCTTCAAAACATTAGGGTACTAAAAAAGGTCCGTTTTTAAAGAAGTTAAATACAAAAAATACAAGCATGAAATTAATAAATTTATTGTTGTAGGCAGTAATAATTTTAGCAGTAAAACCCTAATCATTTTTTATGCTTTTATTTATTTGTTTAAGTTAAATAAAAGATATTTTTTCATCCTGAATACTGCTGCCGGTATTGTCAGATTCGACGTCACTTTCATCGCAGGATCCAGTATTTTCTGAGAACTGGGAATTAACTTTTTTAATCGCAGGCCCAATATTAATATTTTGATTGATGAATAATGTTTTAAAAAAGAAATAATCAAATTGATAAACTTTTCTGCGCTTGATATTGCTGCTGTTGACCAAGTTACGATAATTATTAGATGTACAAGACAATGGTGAAGTTATTGAAAGATTTCTAGAATTTATCTCAAATACTCGCCATAAAGATATTGAAGATACTATGTTAAAATCTCTTGAGAATAATGGTTTGAATATAACGAATTGTCGTTGTCAATGTTATGATATTGCAAGCAATATGTCAGGCTTATATTCAGGTGTGCAGTCACGAATAAAAATAATTTATCCATTAGCAAATCTTGTGCTGTTCATTCCATAAATTTAGTGAGAACTTATGCAGCTGAATCTGTAACCGAAGCAGTTGACTTTTTTCCATTTTGCAAGAACGTTATATTTTCTTACCATTTCAACACATCGCTGGCAGATTGTTACTGCATACGAGTACAAGTTTAAGACTTTTTCTTCAACTCGTTGCTCTGCTCGACATGATGCATGCTACGCAATAGAAAAAGAGTGGGACTGGAATGATTGTCGCACTGGAATTTATTGCTAGAAATAAATGTATGGTTCTTTGGCATTATTTTTACAAGACATGACAGATAAACACTTCTCCGAATATGAAGAAAAAGCCAAAGCACTATCTGAAGTACAAAATGCTTATCATTATGATGGCCGTCGTAAGAACCCCCCGGAGTCACGGGAGACTGAAAGAACAAATTTTCGAACTAACGTTTATTATCGAATTTTAGATACTTTCAGTGTGCAATTGGTGCATTTACGAAAGTTTAATTTTTTTAAAAATTTGTCTCAAGTAGATTGAAAATTTGTGCAGATGAATTAGTTATTAAGTATATAAGTATTCTGATGATTTGGAAGGAATTTTAGAGAAATTCATTTACACTATCAGCTCAAGAAGTCGCTATTAAACACGGACGATGTACACCGTGTGCTAATTAAAACGATCCACTATAAGGTCTGGAAACACATAGGAGATACGAAAAAAAGTTTACTACAAAAGTTTCTTGGACTCTCCTGAATATATAAAATATTATAATTTGCTATTTTAAATGGCACACCCTGTATATATCGTCATCTTTGGTGAGAATAAAGGTCACTTTTTTAAGAAATTCCTATTTGAATATTGCATAGTTTAGGCAGAAATTGAGGTTATGTGTTTTTTTTTTCATATTTCGATTGCCCCATATAAAATTGTGTTGTGACGTTACTGATCCAGCTATTGCAACCAAAATTTAACCACACACTAAGAAGATGATGCACTACTCAATCAGTTTGATAGATGCCCCTCAGCTTATACAGGGTGTCACAAATTGGTGGTGCCGTTCAATTAACAAAATCTCAAGATTTTCGAATGCAACAACCTATATTTTTATTCAGATATCAATTCTAGGACAAAAAACAAGGAAAGTTTGTAACTTATTTTATATTTAAATTTTAGTTACTTTTTCAGATATTCGTTTAAGATAAGCACCCGCATAAATTCTTGTTGAATGAGGTCATTTGTTGGAAATATTAGGTATTTTTTAAATAGCAAAGACACGATACTACTTCTTTTAAAGGTTTAATACTTCAAATATACGAATAAAATCTATTGCCAACAATACAGCGTGTCCATTAATACGTGGAGATTTTGAGAATATCGACTCTATACTACTCGTACAAACTTTAACAGATTTAATAAATCTTCAGAATTCATACTTAATAGTTGATTATCTAGCTTGATTGAAAATACCTAATAACAAAAATAAATAATTAAAGTTTATAGATTATCCAAATACAAATAGAATATATGCTAACAATAAACTTGACAACGTTTTAAATAGGAATTTGAAAAACAAGAAAAACAAACAGAAATATATACCTTAATGCGTCAAAAAAAAAAAAATGTGATGTCAAGGCCAACTATATTTTTAAATATTTTGACATTTTATTACTAAATATTTCCGGGCTTTTGAGCCGTGGTCCCGAGATTAAACTCGACGTTTCGTCTACAAGTGCGGTAGACATTTTCAAGAGCGGCGATGCGGTAACGGTCGAAGTGTTCTTCCGTACTGCTCTCCGATGACTGGTTGGTTGACCGGAAGATCTGCCGTATTTAAGCGCGCTGTAGTGGGCGTGACCTCGGTGGCGGGCTTGGGTTGAGCTTGTCTATGTAAACACGTTGTTTTGTTGATGACCTGAGTCCATGTTTTACTGATATTGAGACCTTCTTCTTTTCTATTGAAATTATTCCGATGTTTTTGAATTTCAATAGCTTCTCTGAAAAGACGTGGATAAAAATGTGGTGTTTTGTCCAGTACCTGCGTGTCTTTGAACATGATACGATGGTCACCTTTGTCAAAAGCATGTTCTGCCACTGCTGATTTTTCCGTGTGTCCAAGCCGGCAGTTCCTTTTATGTTCCTTTATCCTAGTTTCAATGCTTCTCTTTGTGGTACCTATATATACCGAGCCACAGGAACACGGAATGCGGTATATCCCTGGTGAAGAAAAGGCGTCCCTTGTATCCTTGGCAGACCTGAGTCTTTGTCTGATTGTAGTCGTTTGTTTAAAGACGACCCGAACGTTGTGTCGTTCTAAATGTTTACCGATCCTGTCTGTGACGTTCTTAATAAAAGGAAATGATACATTCCCTTGAGGTTCCCTTGTCGTATCTCTTGTCTTAGATCTTCTATTTTTTATAGCTTTTTGTATTTCAGAGGTGGTATATCCGTTATTTTTCAGGGAATCGGTCAAGTGATTAATCTCTTCACGTAGGTACTTGGGTTCGCTAATCCGATTAGCCCTTGTCATTAAGATTTTTATTACCCCCATTTTCTGTCTCGGATGGTGATTAGATAATTTGTTCAGGTAACGTTCCGTGTGAGTGGGTTTTCGATAAACTTTATGACCCAATTTTCCATTTGGTCGCCAAGGGACGCCTTTTCTTCACCAGGGATATACCGCATTCCGTGTTCCTGTGGCTCGGTATATATAGGTACCACAAAGAGAAGCATTGAAACTAGGCTAAAGGAACATAAAAGGAACTGCCGGCTTGGACACACGGAAAAATCAGCAGTGGCAGAACATGCTTTTGACAAAGGTGACCATCGTATCATGTTCAAAGACACGCAGGTACTGGACAAAACACCACATTTTTATCCACGTCTTTTCAGAGAAGCTATTGAAATTCAAAAACATCGGAATAATTTCAATAGAAAAGAAGAAGGTCTCAATATCAGTAAAACATGGACTCAGGTCATCAACAAAACAACGTGTTTACCCAGACAAGCTCAACCCAAGCCCGCCACCGAGGTCACGCCCACTACAGCGCGCTTAAATACGGCAGATCTTCCGGTCAACCAACCAGTCATCGGAGAGCAGTACGGAAGAACACTTCGACCGTTACCGCATCGCCGCTCTTGAAAATGTCTACCGCAGTTGTAGACGAAACGTCGAGTTTAATCTCGGGACCACGGCTCAAAAGCCCGGAAATATTTAGTAATATAGTTTCTGGCCGTGAAAGCCTAACATCTTTGATTTTGACATTTCTTTATTGTTTTGATGCCAGATGAAACGAACATTTTAAGAGAAACATTTTTAACTAAACTTTATGGATCGAATTAAGGAACACTCTTTAGTTAACTTTTTTTTATATATTTATTTATACCAATTTGTTACCTTGGTTAGTTAGTCTATAAACTTTAATTATTTTTATTTGTTATTTGGTATTTTCAATGAAGCTAGATAGTTAACCATTAAATGTTTCTTTAAAAATGAATTCTGAAGTTTTAATAAATCTGTATTGTTAGCAATAAGTTTTATTCGTATATCTGGAGTAGTTTTAAAAGAAGTAGTATCGTCTCTTTGTGCTATTTAAAAAATACCTAATATTGCCAGCAATTCAACAAGAATTTATATAGGTGTTATCTTTGAATATCTCAAAAAGTAAGAAAAATTTAAATATAACATAAATTACAAACGTACTATATTTTTTATCCGAGAATTGATATCTGAATAAAAATATAGGGTATTCCATTCGAAAATCTTGAGATTTTGGTAATTGAATTCGCCAAAACGGACCACCTATTTGCGGCACCCTGTATAAGCTAAGGCGCATCTGTCAAACTGATTGAGTAGTGCATCATCTCCTTAGTCTGTGGTTCAATTTTCGTTGCAATACCTGGGATCAGTAACGCCAATTTTATATGGAGCAATCAAAATATGAAAAAAAACATGCAAAATTCGAATAGGAATTTCTATAAAAAGTGACCTTTATTTTAACCAAAGACGCCAAAAATGTCGATATGTACAAGGTGTTTTATTTAAAATAACAAAATTGATGTCGTAAGGGACAGTTTTGGGACACTCTGTATCCACAAAATTATAATATTTTAAAT